GACAGATCTTCCAGTGATCCATGTTTAACATCTTCTGGAACTTGGCCAGCTGGATTCAGGTTCATGAAGAAATCTTGGTCCTCTAATCCACATTTCAGACGTTAAAAAAGTATCAACATCAAGACCTCTAGATGCAAGGTCAGCAGGATTACTCTTTGTGTCTACATATCTCCAAGCACTTGCTGAAGACAGTTCTCGGATTAGGTTCACTCGATTTGCGACAAAGGTGTGGTAACGAGCCTTCTGATTGAACAAGTACTTGAGCACTGAAGTGCTGTCTGTCCAAAAGACTGAATCTTCCAATTTCAACCCCAGTTCCTTTCGTAATTTACAGTCCATTCGAGCTGCAACGGTGGCAGCCGTCAGTTCTAGTCTTGGAATAGTTGTCGGTTTCAGAGGTGCTCGTGCCATAACCAAAGTGCAGTATACCCTTTCCGAGGCATTTACCATCTTCAAGTAGGAGGCTGTGCCATAACCAGACTGACTTGCATCTGCAAAATGATGGAGCTGATAAGAAATGACGGAACCAAAGGAAATGGGCACTAGGCTTCGTGGCAGCTTAAATCTTGACAATTTTGGTAACTGTTCCAACCATTTTCTCCAACGAGCAGCTTCCTTATCACCCATATTTTCATCCCAGCCTAACTGCATCTGACACATGTCTTGAAGAATCATTTTTGCTGGCAGTGTCAAGCCACCATGCCAAGTGGGTCATATATAGATGCTACGATAGATAAAACTCCTCGGCGTGTTAGTGGCTTGTCGCCAAGGCAGATTTTGAATGTGAAGCAATCTTCGGCCATCGACCAGTGTACACCCAAGGTCCTTTCAACTGGGAGATCATCCTTACTGAGGTCTAGAGAAGCAACCGACGCATCCCTCTCCGATTCAGGAATCTTCTTGAGCACGTCCTTGTTATTGGCTGTCCATTGGTTGTGCATTACAGAGAGCAATGAGATCTTTGATGATTTTTATCAGTCTCTCTTTGTCATCATGGGCCAGCAGGAGATTATCAACATAAAAACTTTGTATTATGGCAGTGACAGCTTGTTCATCAAAAACCTCACCGTGGTCCTCAGCAGTCTTCCTTAAGGCATAATTTACACAGCTAGGAGAGGATCTAGCACCAAAAACATGAACATTCATTCGGTAATCACTTACAGGCTTATTGATATCACCATCTGCCACCATAAAAAACGGAACACATCACGATCCTCTAGGGGAACCTTGACCTGAAAAACATCTCCTCGATGTCCGCTGTGACTGCATAGTGACCATGCCTGAACCGCATGAGTACCCCTATTAGAGGATTTGTGAGGTCTGGCCCTTGAAGAAGATGGTCATTTAGGGAAGTGCCATTGAATTTAGCTTTAAGGTCATAGACGACACGTACCTTCAGCTTAGTGGGATGACGCACAGCATGATGTGGCATGTACCATATTCTACCATCATTTCGTTCTAATCCTGATGGAGGTACTATTTCAGCATACTGTTTACTTATATTCTTTTCCATTTGAGTGATGTATGTCTCCTTGAAAGTCTTGTCAGATTCCAGCTTCCTTTTGAGGACTTTCATTCTGCGTACAGCTATTTCACAATTGGTTGGAAGTGCTACTTGGGGTCATATCCATTGTGTTCACATCCAGAGCATGGACATTTGAACTATTAACAGACACGAATGACGGAGACGGGTTTATTGGTCGTGTGACTTGGCTTACCTCTTCCTGCTTCAATATAATATATTTCCTCTGTTACCCTAGCTTGATCTTTAACAAATTTAACAAGTGAAGAGAATGAACTTGCAGATTTAGTGTCAGAGTCTACACATCTCGAGGCCCACTTAGTTCTCAAGTATCTCGGCAGCTTACCAACGATTTTAGATATTGTCTTATGCAACTATTATCACCTAAGGCCATTCTAAATTAAATAAGTAGGAGCCATATATTTTTAGACCTACATCTCCCAACTTCAATGTCTTCCCATACAAATAATTTTGCAATGAAGGACTCGAGGAGTTCATTGGAGTTCTCATATCCTTCTCTCAGTATCCTCCACGCTTCAATATATCCATGGTCAGGTGGTAGGTGATGGCAACCTTCAATAAGGTCCATTGGTGAGCCATCCAACTGGTTGTAGAGTTGTGTAAGCATTCGCCTTGGGTCATTAGTGTTGCTCTCAACATTCCATTCAAATGTCCTACAGAACTGAGAGAATTTTGAAAAATCTCGATCAAAACGTTCAAATTTTAATGGAATAATGATATGTGAGCCTGTTCTTGTTGGGTTAAAACTGACTGGTTCATCTGATCCACTTCATCCACATTCAATGCCTTGAAGGTGTTGGATGGCTGGTGAACTCATGGCCTGAGGTATGGTAGCAAGGTACTCTGTTGGAGTTTACAAAAGGTGCAGCTTCCGTGTCAATAGGTTCTCATTAGGTTGTGTAATGGTAGTAGTAAGTTGGCGTAATGGAGAGCTTACGCTGGGCAATATTAGCTCCATTTAGTTCAGGATTGACTGAAGTTGAACATTTAGGTACGGGGGTTTCAAGGACTGTAACGGCATTAACAGCAAAGTGGACTGGCCCTGCAGTCACGTTGACTGCACTTTCACGACCCACTTGTAGGTCCAGATTCCCACATTAATGGTGGGGTTCTACGCCTGTTGCAATCCAGTTGCTATACACATGTAATTTCCCAGGTTACTTGTAAACTGCGGTTGGTTGTATTCGTATGTTAGGCTATTTAGAGACCTATTCTGTGACTGACGTTAAGAAACCTGATTCACAGAAACGCATTGATGAGGGCCATTCACATATTCTAAATTGCTTTGCAATTTCTTTCAGAGGGAAAACAGTCTATTAAAAACTTACCCCATATGGCGGTCTATTACTTTAAAGGGTGTTGTCCTCTTGCAGTGAATCACCTGTTCGGTAGTTCGCCGAGTGAGCCCATCTTGAGCTGGGGCTGCTGGAAATCTTTTCTCACTGTATAAATCACAGTTAACAGACAGAAAAAAATAGCACAATAAAAACACGTAAACAGACAGAAGGCCACACGTTTAGCCAGCTCCGAGGGTCTAAGTGAATTGCTGAAATTGGCGGGAAAAAGGCGACTGGTGGTTCGTGATTGGCTGAACGAGAAACTTGTGACAACCAAAATCCGCACAATTAAACATAGTAATTCACAACCAAAATCCGCACAAGTAAACATAGTAAGAAAATGAATAAAAAAGGTAAATTACAATACAAGGCCCAGATTCACTAACATCGAGTTACCACGGTAAATTATACCAGTGGTCAGAGCACTAGTAACTTCTTGGAAAACGATGTCATCGCATGATATCTCATCAGAAAATCAATATCTAATCATAGTAAAGAAATGTAAAATTCACATGAACCTAGCAAGAATAAAATCCAGGCAAATTTACGTGATTGGCCAAAGGAACCTAAAAGATATGTATAGCGCTCGCTGATTGGTGGAATTGCTTTACCAGAGCCCTCTGTTGGCTACCATTAGAATGAGTCGATTTCCGGTTGTAACTCAACATATCTAATTTACCATTTCTTCGTGAATACCACTTTGACATCACTGGTAAATGCAATGGTAGATGACCGTTGGTAAATGCGCTAAGATCGTATGTTAGTGAATCCGCCCCCAAAGATTTAAACAAAATATGGAAAAAAATAAAACACGATAAAAAGGGCATAAAAATACAGAAAAAAAAATACAGACAATAAAAACAAAAAACAAAAAAACTTCAGAGACCACTACTCTCAGATGGGCGTTCGCCTGCAAATAAAGGAGGTTGGATAAGAGATTGCGAATAAGCAGAAAACAAACTGAATATGTAAAAATCATTTTGTTAGTTGAGAAATTCATAGAGAATGACTTTGTACATATATACATACATGTGTTTGTGAGTATACATACATACATACACACACACACACACACACACACACACACACACACACAACACACACACACACACACACACAACACACATACACACACACAACACACACACCACACACACACACACACACACACACACACATATATATATATATATATTATATATATATATATATATATATGTATATATATATACATATATACATATATATATATATATATATATATATATATATATATATATATATATATATATATATATACATATATATATATACATACATACATATATATATTATATATATATATATATATATTATATATATATAGAGAGAGAGAGAGAGAGAGAGAGAAGAGAGAGAGAGAGAGAGAGACAGAGAGAGAGATAAAAACGTGTGTGTGTGTGTGTGTTTATGTATGCATACATATGTATGTATGCATATGTATATACACACACACACACACACACACACACACACATATATATATATATATATATATATATATATATATATATATATATATATATACATACATACATGTCGTGAACCTTATTTTATTTATTCGTTGATTCTAATTTTAAAGATGTATGTACATAACTGAAGCATTTGTTTACATATTTTTATATTTCGAAGGACATATCAGTATAGCTAAATTTAACTATAACAAATGATAATCATTAAAAATGATGTGATTGTTTAACTGCTAAGTGCTGGTATTTGAAGTCGTGTTTTACCTTGATATTTGAGATTGTAATGCTTGATATTAACGTAATTATAAAATTAACTAATTAAAATTAACGTAATTATAAAATTAGCATTAACGTAATTATAAAATCCCTTAGCGTTGATTTGTGATAATTTAAATGAGTCCTTTGCCAGAATGAGTCATAGGCGACAGTTATGAAGATAAAACTGAAGAGGAGCAACTGGTTTATGGCCAAGTAAAATCCTGGAAAGTTACTGACAGACTGGGTGTGAGGGTATCGATTCTCACGTATATTTTTATTGTATGCTAATAATTAGTAGGAAAAGGGAGTGAGTTAAGTTGGATAAGTGGATAATATTGCTTGTTTATATTATAA